ATGGGTTTCACACCGTATTATCATTCCTCGTCCTTTACAATCACTACATTTGACAACGGAACCGGCAACGCCACCCAATCCTTTGCAGTCAGTGCAAATGACTGTCCTTGTGACCTGAATGAAAAACCTCATTGCATAAAACTATTGTGAGAAACTACTTAGCAGAATGAGAGAAGGGGCAAAAGCTAGAAGGTAAAAACTTGAGAATAAGGTTCTTCTGTGATGATTCATACTATTTAAACTCTGGTTTAGACTTTCGAAATATTACCCAGAGCGCATCCGAATATACTATTTGTAGATCGATAGCTAACATTGAAATGCGGTCTATGGCCCTTCTTTATATAAAGCAATACCTTGAGTTTCTTGGAGAATCCATTATATAGCTGCTCCAAAGAAACTTTCAGCTGATGAACAGTTGGTCGAACTCCACGCTCCCTCTGTCTTCGTCCTGAAAAATTGTGTTCTGGTTCCAATCTGACGTCATGAACGACAATCTTAGCATTTGCACGAGGTAAAAACATACCTCCTCCAAAGAACATGTCGAAGACATCGAATGGATTGTGGAATTCTCCACCACCACCGCCGCCTTGAAGAGCTTCTTCTCCACCTTGGTCATAGATCTGCCGCTTCTTCTCATCCGAAAGAACTTCATAAGCCTATAAAACAAGATAAACTTTGTACTGCGTACCAACCCCTCTTGCCTAGTTGCTCAAGCAAACTTTTCTCATTCGAACAATACCATTCTGCTCCAACGAAAACTGAACGAAATTCAGGCGCAGAAACTACTTCCATTCCCTCAAGTAAGAGAGCGACTTGTTGAGATCGACCTTCATTTGTATTGGATGAAGCTTGCAGATGGACACCGATCATTATAAAGTACTAGCAAACTGCGTGAACAGTGTTGAAGTATTTAAGCGCATCTGACCAAGATATTTGTAAAAAGAATTACGCACAGAAAATGCCATAACTATGCCGCTATTCACACAATAAAACGATCAATTTGGCGTCATAGTTTCAGATCATCATTTCCTAAGCCATACAAATGCAAATTTTTTGTATTGTGTACTACATCAGGGAATTAGACTGTCCACTGTTTTTAACGAACCAAATTATCCTCACCTGTGATATCAACTTGAACTGCTCTCCACCTTCGGGGTTTTTATCCGGATGGTATTTTAGTGCCATTTTTCGATAAGCTTTCTTGAGCTCGCTGTCCGTAGCATTGGGCGACACGCCCAAGACATCATAATATTTAGTTTCTTTTACCATCTCCTTGCCGATTACAGCCCGTATTCAAGGTGTAGCGAATTGTACCCTGAAATGTTCTTGTTGAAGAAATCACTGCTTGCCACGCGATGACAGACGCATATCGACATCTCAGTAGACGAAAGAAAGCAAAATAAAATCTGCAACACTTGCAAATGAAACAGCAGACATCCTTCAACGGCAAACAATTGAGGAAAGCGATGATGCTCAAAACGAGTTCGCGAAGGTTCGCTTCTTAAAGGATCGGTTTTCCAGCAAACTGTTATTGGAGCGCGTCATCTCCTGTTCCCGCCGCAGTCTAGGTCTCAGTGATTCATAGCGGTTGCGTTTTTGCTAGCAAAGTGAAATGAAAGAAATGGCAGAACAGTTCTGACTTGTCAACGATAAATTGGATGGTTTCAAATGAACGGCATCTGAACTCATTTTGGGGATTTGTGGGTCTTCTGTATGAGGAGTTTGCGCCCGCGGCCAACCAAATCAGCTCTTCCACAGTGAATGTGCTAACCAGGGGAGGACCCATAGTCGAAATCGCCTTTTAAAGTGAAGTATGTGCCAATATGAAGAGCATCAAACGCTTATTCCAAAACTATGTTTTTTGCCAAGCGGGTGTATACGCTGAGTTACGAGTGTTTTTGGGAGCGAAAAAT